ACACACACACACACACACACACACACACACACACACACACACACACAGTTTGAGTTGGCTGGGAGTTAATGAACTACAGAAGGCCTGATAGGACAAGGTGGGGGGCTCAGATAGCTCTGCGGCTCTCTTTCAGCTCCTTTCGGATTCACTTCTGGGGCTGCTGACACGGAAGCAATCTGGCTCGGCAGCCTCAAGGGAGACCTCTGGAACCCACCTGCACCCAGGCACTGTGGGATTTGAAGTGTGGCTTGTCTTGTCCCTCCTTCACCTCTAGAATATTGTTTACTAAATAAAGAAAAAGAACTGTTCTCCTGAGCCCACCCACATAACGCTTTCGGAAAGCAGGGTCCTACGTAGGGAATGGGTGTTCAGAGCTGTTTATTCTAGGGCTCAGCCTTGCCAGCAACTCCTGGCAAGCTGGGATGACAGTCTCCTTGGGGACAGAGTTCAAACCTCAGCCCTTGTCAGAGGAGGGGCCGGATCCAAATGGAACAAAGTTCAGAAGGAAAATATTTGTCCTTGCATCGCCGGGAACCCACCCGTGACCCGTCATCTCCCGGAGCAGATCGTCAGGGATGTGCACATAGCTGTCATTCCAGCCGGCGCCTGGCTTCCCTGTCCTCCTCCCACGGAGAAGACATCTTGGCCCTGCTCGCCACCACCGGGCCCTGGGAATGGGAGTGTGTGTGACCAGCATGTAGGGCCTATTTGCTTTGTCGTTCAGCCAAGCCCTGCGGTGGATTTGGCCACCCCGGTGACACTTGGGGTCCAGTTCGCCAGAGACTCTGGGACACGGGAGGAGTTCATCATAGGAACTTGTGGGAGCCGCCAGATTGCTACCTGCTGGGCACGTGGTTTTTCTCATCTATGTGGTCCCGAGGGAGGGACTGATTACGCAGGAAGGGTTATTTTGCCATGGTGTGCACTTGAGTCCTGTCTTCAGGTCTTGACTCACCTGTTTAATGGCAACAGGGATCTATCGATTGGTGTCATCTTTATCTGGCTCGGGAGGGGCTGGGATGTTCGAGGAGCCCAATGGTGTGGTACACTCCTGAGCTGAGATCTCTCCCAGAACCTTCCATGGGGCTGATATGTCCTACCCTCTGCCCCGGCAAAGTCTCCAGGGTGCCGGAAGCAGTCGAGTTGTGAGAGCAGACTTTGACCCTCAAAGGTGGACTAGACCTGTCACGGCCTTGACACCCACCCACTCCCCAGGTCAGTCACCTCACTCCTCCAGCTCTTCGAGAAATAAGCTCAGGCACATGTAGGTACCTCGTCAGCCAACTCCGGCCGGTCTGTGCCGAATACAAGACGTTGGCTGCTTCAAACGGCTTCCTCTCTCTCTCTCTCTCTCTCTCTCTCTCTCTCTCTCTCAAGCTGCCCTTCCACCAGGCCCTTGAGGATCACAAGACACCACCCCTCCCCCCGCCCATCTCCACAAAGGTGTGTGATAGAGAAACCAGGACCAGGGAGCCCAAAAGACCTGGTTCAAATCTCGTCTGTGCTATTTCCTTACCGTGCACACTCGGGCGATTGTCTCAGCATCCTGGGAGTTCCACACCTTCATCAGTTAAGAGGGCAGATGATGCTTTCCTCAAATTATCGTAAAGACCAGCTAAATAACGCCAGGGCTCCAGGTTGAATTTCTTCCCTCGTGGGAGGGTTATTTTGTCAATTAGGTTGCACTCAGGAACACCTAGGGAACTAGTGACTTAGGCTTCTGCAGGTGTCGGCAAGGGTGTTTTCAGAGACAGCTAACTGAGGGTGGGAGTCCCCACTGTGAATGTGAGTGGCACCATGGGACAGGCTGGGCCCCAGGCTAAGTAAATGAAAGAGGAAGAAGTCAGATGGGCAGGGACACCCGGGGCGAATGTTTGGAAGCCATGCCACCCGCCTCAGACACAGCTGGGTGTTCTCAGTTCTACCAGTAACAGCAGATGGAAGGCTTCCATACCTGGGTGACCCGCTGCCTGGGCAGCCTTCTGAGCCTGACCTTTGTCAGCCCCAGCAGCCCCAGCTGCCTCAACTTGGAAGCAGCTGCGTGGCCCACAGTAGCTGGATGCTGCTTCTTGGTTTGAATCCCTAAGGCTCTGCTCTCCCCAGGCACACAGGGTGCCTCCTTGCATGGTGGCAGGATCCAAAGGAGAGGCACCCGAGATGGTTGTGGCTGAAGATTTTATTGCAGGAAAGCCATCCTGATAATGCCAAGGCTCCCTGGCATCAGCCACCTGGACTTCAGGCTCTGAACTCGAAGTAAAGGTTCCTCCTTTGCCGCTCTTGAGAGGAGACCCTCTTCCCCGATGGGAAGGTCTGAGAGGTCCTAGTGTAGTCAGGAGCCACTCTTAGAAGGTGCCACTTACTCTTCGGACTCAGAGGAGGCCTGAGGGTAAAGACAGGGCCATGGTTAGGCTGTATGCCAAGAGGAGGGTGAAGGATGTTCACCATAGCCCCAGATACCCACTATAGCTTTGTGGACCTGAAGCCATTCAGCAGCGTGACATCTGCTAAGTCCCAAGGGCTTGGGAGAAAAGTGACCTGGTTTCTGGTCCTGTCTCCTGCTGGAAACAAGCCTGCATAACAAAGAACTGCTGCTACTATCACCCTCTTGGCTCTGCTCTAAGGACTAAAGGAAACTCTGCACACAGTACACTTAACGCAAGGCAGGGAGTGGCACTCAACTGTTACAGGAGATGGAGGCTGCTGCTGCTGCTGTGGCAAAGATGATGGTGGTGAAGGGTGGTTCAAGAGGGTCATGATGATGGTGAAGGTAATGGGAATAGTGATGGTAGTGGTGATGATGATGGTGATGGTGGTGATGGTGGTAGTGGTAGTAATGTGATGATGATGGTGATGATGATGATGGTGGTGATGGTGAAGGTGATGGTGGTGGTGATGGTGATGGTGGTGATGACGGTGAAGTTGATGATGGTGATGATGGTGAAGGTGATGGTGGTGATGGTGATGGTGACAATGATGAGGGTGATGGTGGTGGTGATGATGATGGTGATGGTGGTGGTGGGTGGTGATGGTGGTGATGGTGAAGTTGATGGTGGTGATGGTGGTGGTGATGGTGGTGATGATGGTGAAGTTGATGATGTTGATGATGGTGATGATGGTGATGATGGTGAAGATGATGGTGGTGATGGTGATGGTGACAATGATGAGGGTGATGGTGGTGGTGGTAGTGGTGATGATGATGGTGATGGTGGTGGTGGGTGGTGATGGTGGGGATGATGGTGATGATAGTGATGGAGGTGATGATGGTGGCAATTCTGGGGCTGGAACTCCAAAAAGGTAGAGATTTCCCAGGCTACAGAGCTAATCATTGACATTACCCAGCCACTTAAGATGAACTATCTGAGTCAGGCATAGCACTGTCAGCAGCACACGCTGCCGGGTGATTTGTTGTGAAAGAGAAACAAGAATCTGCAGATTCTAGAGAAGCACATCTGTCAGGACCTCAGGAGACCTGTCCCATGAAAGGCTCTGTCTCGAGGGACACACTGGCTCAGAGATTATTAGAGAGATGATCAACTCAGAGGCTGAGCTGACCACAGCAGATGTGGATCTCTTTCCAGACTGAGTCTCCAACCACCAGGCCATCCGGGAAAAGCTCCTGGTTCTCAGTGGACTCAGTTTTACTCGTTTATGCAACAGACCCATCTGTCTGTCTTGCCGAGAGGTGCTTCTAGAGGCAGTAAGATAATTTCTGCAAAGTCTATCTGACTGTGGGAACCGTCGCTTTATCTATATCTAGATGCTGAGGCCAGTAAGGGTTAGAAACCCCAAGCCTCTCTGCTGACCTCCTAAGACTGGCCCCCTCACCAGACAGAGGGAGGTGGGTTGCCAGAGTGGGGGCAGGGATGGGCTTGGATGCTTGCTGGTCTCTAGCCCAGGCACAGGTCACCTCCCACCGCAGCTGTAAAGCACCTGGGAATAAGCGTGTGACCTCTGTGCTCAGGGGACAGGAGAGACTGACGCTGCCTGGATCACCTTGCAGGGCAAAGTAGGTCTTCCCTGGGCATGGGCAGAGGATCTCTCCAGTAAGAGCAGACGTGAGAGCCAGGCTGAAACACTTTCTTATACCTTTGGCCTGGATAGTTGGACTTCTAAGATATTTTCAAGTCCTTGGTTCGGGATTAGGTTCCCAGCACATCCCGAACTGGGTTCCATGGGAGGGAGCAAGAAGGCGAGGGTGACAACCCGTCCCTAGTCAATGTAGTGTCCTATTCATCCACCAGAGGGCAGCAGCGGCTCCAAGTTTGCACCGGTGCAGCTTTGAGAGGGGCCTTCGCAGAGGAAGCGGTGGGCAGGTTCTCACAAGGGAAGTGTGGAGTATGAACCTGGCCAGGAAAAACGCCTTCTGACCCTCCCATGCATTCTCCCTCCACCGTCCTTGCAATGCAACTGTCTCCGCATGGCGGGTACCGCTATTAGGCTGTTAATTGGTTCTCCGTGTCAGGGATACAGGGCTGGATGAGGGGTAGATGTCCTGAGGATATGTGTTTGTTGACAACAGAGCGGAAAAGAGGGACACTCACAGGTGGGTGGGCAGGGGGAACCGCTTCGGCTCTTTCACAGGCAGTTTGAAGAAGGAAACAGGATTCTCGGTGCCCGTCTTGTCCCGGTAATACTGCCGTTGTTGCTGTGCCAGCTACAGCTCGGCCGAAGAACACACAACAGGTTGTTACCGTATCACCCGCTCCCAGAGACACCTGGCCAGCGGTGGTGGCACAGACTCCCCCAATGCTCCTGGGACAGTCCCCAGGGACCCTGAGGACTCAGCTCTACTGCTAACCAGCTGCTGTCCCCGCAAGCAAGCCTCAGTTTCTCCTGTCTATCAGGGATCCTGACACCCACATAGCAGTCCTGCTGCCAAGAGCAAACGAGTCAGAGCGGCTAAGAGAAGTCTGAAATCCCAGGTTAACGTGTGCCTGCACAAACATGCCCTAGACACACCATGTCGCACAAGCATGCCCTAACATCTGCTTCTCCTTCACCCCTGGAACAGGTGTGTCTGTGTGAGTCAAAATAGGGAGAATGGCTGACACGCTGAGGTGGCCCATGGCTTCTCAGAGCCTGAGGTCATCTACTTGTCCTGTCCCCTGGGGAACTTCCCTCACTCAAGTTCCCTTCTTTGGCATGAGGTGTTGTCTGTGTCCTTCCTCCCAGGCAGGAAGGCTGTTTGTGAGGGAAGATGCCACAAAGCACAGGGTTCCCAGAGCGTAGCAGGAAATGAGCCCTCCTCGTTCCGACCAAGGGGACACTGGGTAGGTATGTGTATGTTAAATCAGAGAAGCAAAAGCCCTGGGCAGGGGTGAGGTGGATGGCTCCCCTTCATCTTCATCTCTCCATCGTGGGGCACACTCTTAGGGGAACAGGGACTGTGGAGGGTTAGTGGGTACGGGGGAACTTCAGTGGGGCCTTTGTGTATTTTCCTGGGGCTTGGTTTTGGCCTTTTCTTCCGGTAAGAGGTAAACAAGTAGCCTGCGCCGGCTACTTTTATGCCTACTTGAGACAAGCTAGAGTTATGTGTGAAAAGGGAACCCCAGTTGAGAAAATGTCCCCACCAGATTGGCCTGCAGGCAAGACTGTGGGGAGGAGGGGGCACTTTCTTGATTGATGATTGATGATTGTGTGGGAGGGCATTGTTTTGTGCCACCTCCGGTAGGCGGTCCTGGATGGCGTAAGAAAGCAGGCCGAGCAACCTGCTAGTAAACGGCCTTTCCCCTCGGCTTCTGATCCAGTTCCTGCCTCCACATTCCTGTCCTGACACCTCCTGTGGAGGATGATGGTGTGGGAGTGTAAGCCAAATAACCCTTTTCTCCCCCAGGTTGCTTTTGGTGATGGTGTTTTATCACAGCCACAAAAACCCTAACCATGTCAAAGCCCTGGAGTCAAAGGACGACAAGGAGCAGAAGGAAGGGGCAGGGGTGTCCCTGAAGGTTCCCGAATGACACGGGCTGTGGAGTGAGCGAGACAGAGCTTCAGAGACCCCTGGAATACACAGGCTCCGCTGGCCCTGAAACTCTGAAAAGGCAACCCCCTCCCTGGCCACGCGGGCCTTCCCAGGCTGGAGCTTGGGTCGGTGGGTGGCTCACCTCGTAAAAGTTGTAGATTTCAGAGGCCCGCCTGCTGTCCTGGTTGAGTCGGGTGAGGGTGGGCAGGAGTCGCCAGCGCTCCCAACTCTGTGTTCCGTTATTCATTATCACCAGGTGCTGGTTAGGAGAGAAGATGGTGGGAAAGCTGCCTCCACTGAGTAGAGCACAGCTCCTCTCTGCGGCCGCATTTCGAAGGTCCTGGAAGTACTTGAAGGTGATGTTGCCATAAGGGGAGCCAAAGGAGGAAGCCACAGTGGGGACATGGCCACTGTACCTGCAGTGACAGTGGGGAGGGGATGGGAAGAGGAAGATACAACTTCATGACATCTGTGGCTAGTCCTTTGACAATTGAGGGTTCCTCTGTCCCTCTGGCTGTGAAAGGATTCTCAAAGAGCCCTAGCCTGCTCAGGACTTTGGGGGAAGGTCACGTGAACAGGCCTCTGGCCTCTCCCTTGTCACAGAGGTCTTGAATGAATGGTTGTCTTCCAGAACCTCCAAACACCCACGTGTCTCTCAGGGAGTCTACAGGCGAATCACATGAGTGTGGATCCTCCAGCTCTCCAGGAGCCAGCTGGAAGATTCTGGGCCTCTGTCTAGCCCTGACCTTCTGTGTTCACCTCATTATAGGGTCAAGAGAGTAGGACAGGCTGATGGGCCTCAGCAGTGAGGGTTTGGTTTTCTGCAGCGCAGGCTTGGGGCTTGTGAACCAAAGCTCCCTAAAGAAGCTGCACCTTCAACTATGCTGTTTTCAAGGCTGAGTAACTGACTATAATTTCAATAACTGGGAAGTTGGAAAGTTGTAGGTCCAGATCCAAATAACAGTCTACCTTGGGCTATCGGTAGCCCAGTAAACAGCCATTCCTTACCCGACTCTATGTCTGACTTAATATCCATGGACTAATAGGTAGGTAACACTCTTTTGAATGCGTGAACTTCAAGCCCTATTTTCTACCAACCAATGGCTAAGTAAGAATGCCATCAGCTAGCAGGTGGAGCCTTTTAACAGGAGACCTTGCTTCAAGCACCTACTCAGTGGTTCCAGCAATGTATTTTTAAAGTGTCTTGATTTATGACTTTGTTCTGTTACTATAAAAGCTTCATAAGACCATTACCATGTTGGAACACAGAACTGAGGGTAATTTAACTCTGTGTTCCAGGCCCATCGACAGTCATATTTGGCTCTGCCATAAAACTCTCTTCTCTCCTTTGCAATGAAAATTGTGTTTTTAGTTTTTTTTTTTATTAAAACTTATTTTTGAAACTTCGTACGTGAGTACCGAATTTACATCATTTCCATCCTTCCCCAATCCGTCTCTTCCTATATCCCTTCCATTCCCTCTCAAAATAATTGTGGTTTTCAAGTTGACATTCCCACAGCCTTATAAGGGGCTTATTCAAGTGACTTGGGGGCCTTGACCAACTCTCAGTGCTGCCAAATGCCCTTGAACAACTCTTTTGGTGTCAAGGAGGCCCAGCAAGAGGGACAGAAGATGTGACAACAAAGACTCAGTGACTCTACTGAGACAGGAAACCTTTGGCTACATGAGGCTTACAGAGAAAGGCTGCCCGGCATGTGCTGGACAGGGCCCAAACCTTTCCAGCCAGCACAGTCACCATCACCGGTCCCCACCCCTCCCCACCATCCAACATCAGATTCTCCTTCATGCTGCTGCTGTGGATGCTGCTGCTGCCCTCCCTGCTGTCAGGCAGAGTGTGTCTCCCCACCACCCTGGACATGTCACTTTTGATTACCCTGATCTTGTTCCCACTTCCCTGATCATTCGTTTGAATCTCCTCATCATTTTCTGTCATCCTCAGATATATGTGTATGTGTGTGTGGAGAGACAGAGAGAGAAAGAGAGAGAGAGAGAACAGGCCTGCGTGGAGGCCAGAAGTCGGTGCTGGGTTCTTCCTTTGCTCTTCATCTGACTTTTTGAGACAGGGCCTCTCACTGGATCCAGAGCTTACATGGTCAGACTGGCTTTCTTGTGAGCCCTGTGGAACATCCAGACTCCCAGTGCTCAAAGCATTGGTGTGTTCTGCCATATTTGGATTTTTAACTTTTTGTGAGGCAGCTGAACTCATCAGACCTTCAATCCACCCTTCTTAGCTATCATTCTATTACTATAAAGAGACACCATGACAAAGGCAGCTCTTATAAAAGAAAGCATTTCATTGGGGGCTGGCTTACAGTTTCAGAGGCTTAGTTCATTATGATCATGGTGCAGAGCATGGCATGGGAGCAGTAGCTGAGAGCCACACTCTGATCCATAGACAGAGAGGAAGAAACAGTGGACCTGGTGTGAACTTTTGAAACCTCAAAGCTCTCCCTAATGACACAGTTCCCCCAACAGGACCACACCTCCTGATCCTTCTAATCCTTTCAAACAGCTCCCCTCTCCGGTGACCAAGTATTCTAAAACATGAGCCTTCGGGAGCCATTGTTATCCAAGCTGCCACATTCCACTATGTCCACCATAGACTTGTAGCCACACCATAATGCAAAATGGGTTTAGTCCGACTTCACAAGTCCCTGTAATCTTTCACAGCCTCAACACTGTTTGAAAGTCCAAAGTCTCTTCTAAAACTAAAGCAATCCCTTAACTGTAGCTTCCTGTAAAATCAAAAGAAATAAGCAGATCACATACTTTCAACACAACATGGCACAGATGATACGTTACCACTTCAAAAGGAAGCATAGAGAGGAAATACTGGGCTAAACCAAACCTAAAACCAGCAGGGCAAACTTCACACTCTTCCTCTCCACATCTGATGCCAAAGCGCTCTTCAGATCTCTAACTCCTTTCAGCTTTTTGACTGCAACACCTCTCTCTGTCTCTGTCTGTGTCTGTTGGTCTGTCTCTTTCTGCCTCTGTCTTTCTGTCTCTGTCTGTCTCTCTGCCTCTGTTTGTTTGTCTGTGTCTGTCTCTGTCTGTCTGTGTCTGTCTCTGTCTGTCTGTCTGTCTGTCTCTGTCTCTCTGTCTCGCTCTCTGGCTGCTCCATGACCAGCCTGCATCTCTTCCTGTTCAGAACCCTACATCTCTTCAAGCCCTCCACCAGATGGCGAGCTCCTCAGACGCAGAATGGGATTGCATTTCACGTATCTGAGTCTCTGGTTCTTCATACCTGGTCTGGCACATGGTATGTGGGGAGAAAATAAATTGTTGATCAAACAGATAAAAAGATGAGCAGATTGGGTATCTGCAGTAATGGGGATGGGCACAGTCGACCCTAGATTAACAAACACCACAAGGTCACTGACCACCTTCCAGGGACTTCTATACATGCCCTCAGACAACCCCCCTCCATGGAAACTGATGTACAGCACACTCCAGGACAATCCCACTTAAGCCCTGATGGTACAAGGAACTGCAGCTTGCGTGTTCCTACATTCCAGGCACTCATTCTGCCCCAAGGATTCTGTATCTCCAGAGGTGCAGGCCTAGAATAGTAGTATAGATTATAGATTGTAGAATAATAGTATAGATTATAGTATAGATAGTAATAAATGATTTCCTTCCCAGTGTCTTCGGGGGGGGGGGAAGGTAAGAAAACCATGAAGAGTGGCAGACAGACCTGTTGGTTGCATTCCATTGTGGTCAAACTATGCCAAGTCCCTCTGGTTCCTGGTCCTGTTGTTCCCGCTTATGGGCCTCCTCGGGACCTGGCAGCAAGAATGCTGCCTGGACCAGAGCATGTAAAGTATCCACAGAGCAGACCAAGCTAGGAGATCCCATCACTGGCTTCACCGGTCTCTCTGCAGCCCCTTCCCTCTATTCTCTTACTTCACGGGCTCTGGAGGCTTTTTTCTTTTTTTTCAGCCACTTCCAAGCCCTTTCTTCTGAGTCCTCCTGGACTTCCCGCTGACAGACATGCCCCTGCTGAGGTAGAACCTGAGGGCTCAGGAGTCTTTGTCGCCCTTTCCCGTGAGCCCTCGTGGCCACCTCAGTCATGCCCGGAAGACAGACTCCTTGCCTCTACCATGGCTTGCCCCCCTGACCTTCGGTCCCCCTTTCTTGCCCCACTAGCAGGTCTCTTCTGTTGCTCCCAGCCTCTGCCCCATCCTCCCTGCCATCTTTAGTGGCTCCTTCTCTCCTCCCTTCTGCCCCGCGCTTAAAGATGTGCCCCGGCCTTTCCTAGACTGTAAAACTCTGCAGCGGGCTTTCCTGCCTCTCGCATCCTGCCCTCTCTCTTCCTCTATTTCTCCAAGGCTTTATCCTAACACCCTCTTCCTGCTGCCTGCCAGTCCAGGCATAGGACTCTCAGCTTCTCTCCAGCACCATGTAGGCCTGCCCGCCTCCAGCTCCCCACCATGGTACAGTGGACCAAACCTCTGAACTGTAAAACAGCCCCAATTAAATGTGTCCTTATAAGAATTGTTTGTGGTCACTGTGTCTCTTCACAGCAGTAGAAAGCCTAATTAAGACACCGCACTACTCCAGAACTAAAGGAAAGAGTGCAGGCAGGGAGGAAAGGAGGAAGGGAGAGAATGTGTGTAGTAGGGCACGCTTTCCAGGAAGCTTTACAGCCAAGTGGCCGGCCAGCCCTTTCTCCGCGTGAAGATGTAGGAAATAAAGTACTCACAGGCTCTCCCTAAAAGAGTGCTCGGTGACAAACTCTGCCAACCAAAAGGTGATTCAAAGGAAAAACTAAATTCAGTAAGGAGAGCGCCTCTGTGCGAATGAGGGCTGGTGATCTTCCAACCTACTTAAGAACACAGCTAGGAATAGCAGCCAGGTGAGCGATGCTGGCAGAACAGGAGTGAATGTTATAAAACCTGTCAAGGTAAAAATAACTTGAGCAACCAAAATTGAAAGGTGGGCGGAAGGGGAGATGGGAGCTCACTAAGTACGTCTTTCGGCAGCCAACCCATGCCATGGAAAATGGAAATGCCACGGAAAGTACATGACAGAACGACTCTCTTAGACTTTGTCGGCTTTCAGTCGCTTTCTCCCTGCCCTGCCCCCACACCCAAGGATCTCTGAGGGATTAATATCTTTTTTTCTGATGAGTTGACATTTATTTAGAGTCTGCCTAGTCTTTCCTTTCATCTCGGTTTCCTTCTTTTACATTCTACTGAGACTGAATTTCACACTTTTCATTTCGAAATAGCAAATAGGGTCTAATTGTATATATATATATATATATATATATAAAATCTCGCTTTTATACGACTCCACATCTGTCCTTCCTCTGGTCCTTTTTTCAGACCTAAGGTGGGGTTTACCACGTGGTAACTCTGAGTGTTGGATTTAGAAAAACGTACTGCTTTTG